TGAAAAAGTTGTCAAGTTCCCCTTAACAGGCAGTTTTTCCTTGCCCTTGTCGCCAAGTGCTTGCTCATGGTGGTACTGTTGGGTAAATGTTATAAAGAGTTTGATCTAGACCTGCTCTATTTGAAAAGTGTCCTGAGATAACTTCTGTTATGAATTGGTGCTATACAAATAAAATTGAATTGAATTGAATTGAATATTTATTACAATATAAACACATCCACAGTCATGTAGACATCTCAATTAACATGAACCAATACCTCCTCATACTTGTTGTGTTGACAAATTTCACCAAATGGATAAAGAATAAAACGAAAGACATTTACTGTAATAGTTTCAGTTGTTGTTTTACTAAAATAAATTTCAGTTAACTAAACTAGTTTCAAGTCAAGACTTTAGTATAGCCTATATAGAATATTTTTGTTGAAATTTGGGTTTGGGTTGGTCTCAGGCCAAAGTTCTTCTGCCTGTTGGGAAAAAAATGTTTGGGCTTGGGTGAGGTGCATGGCTTTTCCAGAGGTGCGAGGCTGTGGTGGAACTAGTGTATTTCAATATTTCTGCGTACTGTGGCCCCTAAACAGTACTGGAATTGTTTAAATTGGGAATTAATGGAAAGTAAATGGACCTGTACTAACCCTTACCCTTTCACACACATTCACACACCGAACAGAAACTAACGCATTCATACACATTCACACACCTACGCACAGCATCTGGAGCAATTTGGGGTTCAGTATCTTGCTCAAGGATAGCCAGGGATCAAACCAACAACCTTCTGATTAGGGGATGACATGCTCTGACTCTGCGCCACAGCCCTAGTTGAGACACATACTTATTGCCACCCCTGCATAAGTCAGTGCCCCACTTGTGCAACCCCAGTCAAAAATGTATGGACCCCTTTGGTTGGGTCAGATCGAATCAAACCTCTAAAAGCAGGAAATATAAACTGTAGGTTGTTTGATTTAAATTTGAAAAGTAAAAGTTTCTTCAAAAATACTGACTCCATTAAAAAATCGTTTGTAATAAATTTTGTCTTTGGTAAATGCTCCACACTGACCATGCAGCAGAAGTTCTTTCAGTTCATAATAATTCGAACACAAGGAATCCCAGCTACAATAGCAGTGATGTTCAGATTATATGTTCTGTTTCATCCACTGTCTAAGTGATCTCAATAGGAAAATGAAACTTTACTGATCTGATGCATTTCACTATTTCCTTAGGAAATAAATGGAAATCAGCCTTACATTTTGAGGTATTTTGTGTGCCTTCTGACAGTTTGGTCTGAGGGGGGCAGACATTTTGGTGGAAATGTGGTCATTACTTAGCTGTACCTGCAGAGTGTTAGTCAAGGGGAACTAACAGGTCAGGGGGGGGTCACCAAAGTCATTAGGAATCATCTATAACAATCTATACAAGAGTATTGACAATGCAGCCAAGAGACACTTTGTTCTGTACCCAGAACATATTGTTCACTGCTTGCAGTACAGACACATAGTTATTGCATTACTTACTGGATAGCAAACTAACAAGCTGGTATCCTAAAAAAAGATTATGTCTTCCATGTATGGCTGGTGTATCTTATTATCAGATAGCAGCTGTTTTTGGATGGTTAGAATATCTGGGGGCTGACAGGCGTGTGGTTACTGCATATTCCTCCCTATGGGGCCAGTTCCCCATTCACATTTTATCAGAAAAAAACATCTTGCAATTCAAATTGGTATTTCACTGCAGGGAAATGATTCATTGGTTGCTCCCTGAAGTGAGATCATAACTTCACTTTCATCATATTGGCAGGGGACAGCATTAATGGACCCCTACAATCATGTTGGTCAGTCTGTCTGTTGTCTAGCACTTTCTTTCAGGGCAAGCCATCTCATCAAGTACAGGGCAGATAGTCGGGAAATTTAGTATGGATATTCATCTTCCCTGATGTTTTCTCCTGCTTTTATCATCAACATCATGTTCAGATTTACATAGTCAATAAAAAACTGAATGTGCATAATGTATTCCATTTGTTAAAGTTTATATATGAGATTATGAGCAAACAGTGGTGTTACATTCCCTCTGCCTGTGTTGTTATCACAGCCGGTTTGTATACATTTCTCACGATGAATGGCATCTAGCAGTGTAGTTGCAGATGGTAATGGTAAATTGACCTGTACTTGTATAACCGCCTTTCTAGGTTTCCGACTACTCAAAGTGCTTTTAACTACATGCACACTTGGGCTTTCTCACACATTAACACAGCGACTGGCAAAGCATTCTCTTACTACCTCATGCACATTAACACAGCGCATGGCCAAAAAAAAAAAAAAGCATTCTCTACTACTCATGCACATCTAACTCATGCACATTAACACAGCGATGACAAAGCATCGGGAGCAATTTGGGGTTCAGTATCTTGCTCAAGGATACTTAAACATGCAGCCGGAGGAGCCGGGGATCCTACCTTCCGATTAGTGGATGACCCGCTTTACCTCTGAGCCACAGCCTCCCTAGATTGAAACCCTTCACCTGACTCTCCCATTCCAAGTGTGTTGGAGAAACTATGGTGGCTGTGAAATGTGTGCAATACACAAAAGACTCTATCTAGAGTCAGTGTTTGGTTTGTCCTTTCTGGGCTACTGTAACTGTAACATGGTGGTTCAACATTAATGACTCCAAAGAAGAGGAGCTATTCCTTCTATAGATAGCAGAAGCAGTAGATAGACAGCTCATTCTAAGGTAACAAAAACACAGATTCTTATTTTCAGGTGACTATACACTTATGAAAACATACCTAGGCATATTATATTTCATTTCTGACAATAGACCTTCCTAACTGGACCTTTAAACTATTTACTTCTATTATCTGGAGCTTGCTCTTTTCCTTGACATGATTAGATGTGTAAGAACCTTGTGAAGATACATTTGTAAGTCTGTTACTCTCAGATACATACAGATAAGTGGTTAAAGGAAGCCAGCTAATGGCTACTTACAACAGGAAGCCCACAACCCACTATAGAGAGGGCACTCTCAGAGGAGAATGCTTTTTACATCACCACAGAAAGCTTATTAGAGGTTGGAAGCACATTGTCTTCTGTGTTGTTATGTTAGTTGGGAACTTCATTCATCTCTCCACAACCACCATAATGAGGGTTTAAGGCAGATAGATCTACTATTGTCTGCCAATGTATCATTGTGTGACTGTACATTGTTAGAAAAAGCATATTTTTTACTGTTTAATATTAATATACCCCGATCAGCCATTATGATTATGACCACCTAGGCACCCTGACTGGTCTGCAGTTACGCAGCCCCATACGCAACAAAATGTGAGGCACTGTGTGTTCTGACAGCTTTTTATCAGAACCTTTAACTTTTTCAGCAATTTGAGCTACAGTAGCTCGTCTGTAGGATCAGATCTCACGGGCCAGCCTTTACTCCCCACGTGCATCAGTGAGCCTTCACCCTGTCGCTTTTCCTTCCTTTGACTACTTTTGATAGGTACTGACCAATCAAAAAGGTTTCAGGGTTTGGTCATAAATTTAGATCAGTTAATTTGGCCCAAATGAATTAAACTGAACTACAAGATACAAGATGTTCGCTTTTTACAAACAAAACATGAGTTGTAATCATTAAGTTATGGTGACCCACTGATTGGAAAGTTTTAGTGACTATCATCCTTCATCATTAGAGGTACATGGACCCACAGAGAATCTGATTTTGGAGAAATCAGATTCTCCAAATTGACTACAATCAAATTTCATATTATCATTCTTAAGACAATTTAACATTAATTTATCCAGAACTTGATCACAGTCATACATCTGATATGAATCAAAAAGGTGTTTGCATGCGTCTATAAGCTGTGGCAGGGAGGATCTCAAACCCGTAATCATATTTTGCCAACACATAGACATAATTAGGAAATTACTGGTGAACAAATGAGGAACGAATGAGGAACGAATTAGGAACTAACTGCTAGTGAACCATTACTTAATGAATAAATCCTAATCAAATTTTGTAGCTAAGGACAATTTAATGATTAGTTAATTAAGAATGAAGTGAAGAACGGGATCAGGGACAACTTGATAGTTGATGAATCACTAATTGGTATGATGCATCACTCTTCTTTAGGGGCCACAAAAACAGTAACTAATGTTTACGTAATTAATAATGAGTCATCCCATTTGCCGGCTGATTCAGATAAAGATAGTGGCCAGTATGATCGTTTCACACATATTCATGAACTAATGATTAACTAATGATACATCATGAACTAATCTTCAACTAATGATACATTAATATAGGTCTGTTCTCCAGTAACTCATCAGTATTGACTTTATAGTCCTCCATTAGGAATTATTAAGGAACTATTTATTAAGGATGATAAATTATCAAGTTCTCCCAGATTCGTTCCTCACTTTCTTATTAATTAAGATTCATTAACTAATCATTACCTACTCTATAAAATTGTATTGGGAGTTTCTCAAAAACGAATGGTTCACTGGCAGTTAGTTCCTCATTTGTTACTTCAAGGCTGGATTACTGCAACTCTTTGTTATCAAGGTTGTCCCCCGATAGTCTAGGCCTTATAGCAGCATAACTAAAGAGTGGTTCAGGACTCACCTGATCCAGCCGCTAACTTAAGCTTTATCAAAGAGAACGTCTTAAGCCTACTCTCTAAATGTGAGAGGGGTGTCTGCCTCCCGAACCTCGACTGGAAGCTGGTTCCACAGGAAGAGGAGCTGGTAATGCTGAAGGCTCTGGCTCCTGTTCTAAGCTTTTCTAGAGACTATAGGGGGAACCCCAAGTAGCCCAGCATTCAGGAGAACGTTAGTTTCTAGAGGGGTAATATGGTACTATGAAGCTCTTCAAGATATGAAAGGGGCCTGGACCATGAAGAGTTTTTATAGGTGATGAGGAGGACATTTTTAAATTCCTATTCTAAATTTAACAGGGAGCCAATGCCAGAGAAGCTAGAACAGAGAGATGTGATCTCTTTTCCTGTTCCTGTCAGTACCTCGTGCTGCAGCGTTTTGAATTAATTGGGAGCGTTTTAATCGGACTTATTAGGGCAT